TTGCATTTACTTCTTTGTAAAAAAGTTTATACATTTTGTAAAATACAAACGTTTGATGACTTTAGATGTTATGCACCGTACAAGGCTAAAAAAAGTAATTTATCACCATAAATGTTTGACTAACTTGTGCTTTATCTTTGTTACTCTCCTTACTCCATTTATCAATCCATACGTTCTAACACACTTAGCTCACCTACGAGCAGCGGACGAAGGCGAAAATAGCAGCTTGACAAGGCTAACGGAAACAGGTTTGTTTGTTCTTAATATTTTCTTTCGTATTGTGGATACTAACCATTTATTTATTTTATCAGTCTTGCAAAAAGCCTTCGATATTGGGTTCGAAGATGCCGATAACTATCTGGAAGAACTAAAGAATTGTTTGGCAAGCTGCTACCAAAAAAGTGATACCTTTTACAACTACCTGACTGTTATTCAGTCGTCCGGTTATGGAAAGACGAGAACTGTTTGTTCGTATACATCTGTTTTCGCAAAAAACATTCGAGTGGATTCCCTCCCAAAACTCCAAAGAGCGATAATATGCTGAAAGCTATAATGAGCGGGACGAGCATAGATCATTGCCATAAGATTGCAAAAACCTGGATTGAGTCTATAATCACTACGTACGAAAAAATGAACCCGCAAAACCCCCGAGATTTGTTGAAGGTAAGAATGAGCTCTCCTTAATGATATTTATAGTACTTGCATCCCAATTTTTTTTCTTCTTAGGATCAGGAAGCTTTCTGGGACGCTGTCGTCAGCAATATATCGATGTCGATACCCGCAACTTTCACTCGCGCTAAAAAACAAATTACTATTTTCGTTGATGAAGCTTCTGCCCTTCTGGGTGAGATTTCGACTTTATTTCGAATTTTATCTAGATCTTGTTATAAACTCATACCTTTGATTCTTTTAATAAATAACAATGCTGAAGAGAGAAATACGGCGTTTAGGGCATTTCGGCGCGCTCTGCGTGACTACAATGACTCCGTTTTCGCTATATTGACCGATACGTGTTCTGCAGTCGCCGATTTGGCACCTTGGCTAGAGCGAGATCCTTCCGTAAGTGTTGGTTATCATACATCATATGTTTTCTGAAGTGCGATATTCCATCGTTTTTCTTTTTTTTTAGGCGAGACATTATGGCTATCGAGTGTACAAACCGTTCATTTACGTAGCGACAACTGATTGTCTAATGGTTAGTCATATGTTCTTTTATTTTATCAACTCTATTGATGGTCGTGTGTTCATCAAAAACTTCTTAGGACCACCCGGATGTTCCATTGGAAGACGGCTCCGGCCACCACATAGTTGGGTATGGCCGACCTCTGTGGGCCTCTTCTTGGATTGGCTATGATAAAAAACAAAATCCTTCAGCTATGTTTAGCAACATTTTGAATTTGGCAAAAACAAAACTCCTTGGAGGTGGAGCGCACACCTGGGCCGATCTCAAGAAAAATAGCACTGACATGATCCAAACATCTGCACTTGCCATTATCGCCAGCACCGCCGATCTATACGTATCCCCGATCTCGAGCGCAGCACCTGATATGGTCAGGTCACACACGGCTACGCTAATTAGCATTGATGATGAGCGCAAATTGCACCTTGTTGCATATCCGTCGGAGCCGATGCTGTCAGAAGCCGCAATGGAACTACTCTCAGAGGATGATGCAGAGTTTGACATACTAACGGAATTGGATAGTGCCACCCGACATGGAGGTATTGTTAATGCGGGGAACCAGGGAGAGCTGGTTATGAGAATATTATTGGTGCGTGCTTGACGTTCTCTTGTCTGCTCAAAAAGGATGACGGGTAGATTGGTGTGTATGAAGCTTTAATTATCAATTATTTTTGTCATGATTTGCAACATCTCACTTTCCATCCACGCAGATGTCATTCTCTGTTCGTCTACCAGCCTTGAATATTTATCGGTACTCATCAAGAATTTTCCAAGAGAAAAATTTTCGCAACTTAAGGGTTTTAGGATTGGATTTACGCACTTCTTCACACTTTTTCATGAACCGGACGAAGAAACCATCCAGGAAATGTACAATCGGAATGCGGCGGCGGCGTTTAAGATGGGCGCAGAGGGGGGTGATTTAATAGTGCCGATGATGTATAAAAAAGAATGGGAAGATGAGGACACGAGGAAAGAAGACGAAGAAGAAGACGCCGAGGAAGAAGACGCCGAAGAAGACGAGGAAAAGTCAGAAAAATTGGACGCAATAGCGTTTCAGGTACGGTTGGAGTCTATTCCTTGATAATATAGTCTTGAAACTAACACACCTCTAGATCAAGAACGAAAAAAAGAAACATGGTGTGGGGAACGAGAGCCTTACTGCTGGTAAGCCGCTTTCTCCCAAGACGATATTTCCCGAGGTTCCTGTGAATACCTTTTACAAAGAGAATTATCTAGGGATTTTGATGTACCTTGGTAAGAAAATTGGTTTTTGATCTCTATCTTGATTGGACTTGAAATCAAGTCGATGCAGTGATCGAGTTTACATGGAACTTACAGTGGCCTGCATAAATAACGCACCACTTGCATCGCTAATCGTTGATCACCTGATTTTAACTCACATGCAATCCG